ACCTATACCTGGACCTATATCTGGACCTGGACCTATATCTGGACCTGGACCTATACCTGGACCTACCATTCTTTGTTCGTCTGTCTCTCCTTCCTGTCCTCTCAACCAGCCGGTCAAAGCAGATGGTCTCTTGTCCTGAGCTGGTTCTGTTGGAGGTTTCTTCCTGTTAAAGGGAGTTTTTCTTTCCACTGTCTCCACTGTGCTTGCTCAGGATGGGAGACTGCAACGAAGCCAAGATTCATCTTGTCTGCTGGATTCCTTAGATAGAGAACTTTACTAACTAGTTTTTATGTGAATGTTCCTGTAAAGTCCCTGAGACAACTTTGTTGTGATTTGGTGCTTTATGAATAAACTGAATTGAATTGAATATCGAGATATATTTCGTATATCACAATTTATTTAAAAAATATTGTGATATTAATGTTGGTCCATACTGCCCAGTCCTACTTTCCCCTGCACTTGTGAGCTGCACACATGGTGCAAAAACATTTAAAATAATTTATTTTAAATAAACAATCCATAGCTCATCCATTTATCAGCCCATCGTGTCATGTCCAATCTTACTTTGTAAAACCATGATATAGTGAATCCACAAAAAACGAACCGCGAAGTAGCGAGGTCAAGGAAACACAGCACAGAACTGATTCATCCCCCAACAGCTTACTCCAAAGTGGAACAAACCTGCTATTTATTTATTTATTTTTTGTGCTGAAACTTTTCACCTGATGAAGCCTTCTGGATGGAAGGTGAAACGTTTCAGCACAAAAAAAAAGAAACTGTCCAGATGACCTGACTGAAAATTGTTGGACTGATGAACAATTCTTCACAAGAAAAAAGCTTGTTCCAGAAAGTCTGTGTTCCCCTGTGTCCAGGACTTAAGGGCTTTAATGTGACTGACGCATGAACACAAGATCAAGTCGAGTCCACTTTATTAATAGAGCACATTTAAAACAGAACCTGTTGTCAAAGTGCTTAACAACAACAACAATCAATGGGAGTAAAATTCAAGAAAAAAATACAATACACTAA